ACTCCCCCTAGAGACAGGGAGGAGACACGGCCCAATTGGGCACCGAACGCTACCTGTCCCACGATAGACGGCCACGTCTGAGCCGAACACAAACCCCGCCACGGTTACAACCCTACTACCGTGACAACCACAGGGCTTACGATTCATCAGACGAATCGGACGACCCTCGCCAGCCTTCGGGTCAGGGCCTGCGAACCAGGCAGATAGAACCTCAGGCCAAAGATCTGAAGCGTTTTGACCCAGATAGCCCAGATTCAAGTATTAACGATTACTTAGAGAAGTTGACCATTGTCTCCTTGACCTGCCTCATGCGTCCTCACATGAAAAACTGAAACGGATCTGGAAGACTACGGCTAGGAGTGTCCGTGATTTCATGGGGACACTCCCACCAAAGGTCCGATCCTTGCAGAAAGGAAACAAATCTGTTAATCAGCACTTACAAACTGCCAAGCAGAAAGTGTTGGACATGCTTGAATTAATTCAGGGAGCACAGGTAAGCATGGAGCAAGACACATCGTCAGGATATGACTCTGATCCTGGACCAAGCCCCTTAAGAGATCAAACAACCCTGCTGAAAAAGCTCAGTAAAGAACCGAGCAGCCAGGATAACCCAAGGACTGAGGAAATAAGTCTAGTTTTCCCTGATTTTGACTGTGGAGCCCCGTCCTTGGGGAAACGCCCCAGTTCTCTGACAACTGTGACACCCTTTCACACCTTCACAGGTTTGAATCACCACATAGGAAGGGGGGTGACTTCTCAGCCCCCAGAGGCAGAGATAACACCAGGCCCCCTCCTGCTACCTGTAGGTTCCCATTGCAGGATTCACGCTGAGGAATATCCAAACCTCAGATGACTGGGATGGCTCCCTTCTACCCAGAGATCAAAGAATGCGCATAAGGCTCATTGAATCTATGGCACAGGATGTAGAGCGGTTTGATCCAGATAACTCAGACCTCTGCATCGATGATTACCTCAGAGAGATTAACCTGTGTCTCAGTGAGGTACCTGATGCATCCACAAGAGAAAAACTCAGGCTGATCTGGAAGACAACTTCCAAGAGTGTCCGTAACTTCACGACTACCCTTCAGCCTGAGATCAGATACCAGTACTCTGCGCTCTGCAATGCTTTGCGCCAGGAATACTCCACCTACATTGACCCTGCATCTGCCCTTCTTAGTGCTTTCAGTGTCTTGCACCAGAAGCACGAGGCCCCCAAAGATTATTACTGGCGACTTAGATCTGCATATTTCCAGGGACGTAAGGCTCCAGGTTTGGAAGAGAACCCAACTTTCAAGTCCATCTTCATGCACAATCTGCATGGCTGCGTGCGTTCAGATGTCACCCTGCATAGTCGTACACATCAGCTTAGTATGAAAGAGATCAAGAGATTCGCACAGGCGGTTTGGCAGACACGCTTACGCACGTGTCACGTGAGGGCAACAAGTGCCTTGTGCTAAGAATAAGAGACCATATCACCGGCAGAATAGAGAACAGAGCCAGGGGGGTGGGACTCAACCACAGAGTAGGTTCCAGCCTGGAGAACTGATCGCTACCAGATCCGAACGGAACTCTCGGGATGGCCGTAGTCTGAGACAGAAGGGTAGGTATAATCGGAGTTCCTACGAGCTCCCTAAGGACTCCCTCGCTTACAGAGAACCCGATTCTGACTCCACATAGGAGTGGGGGTGTAGCCTCCATTCTAGAAACACAACAATGTCACTCTACCGACATGAATGTTTCCTAGTCCCTGTTTTGTGTTTTGACATTGGTAGGGAGACACATAATGTACATGTACATTTACACACCTACATGCCACAAACACCTTCCCACAGGCTTACTCCTGCCCAGGCTAGGAGTTAGCCCACAAATCTACACCTTATACTCTTCTCTTTCTCCCCTCCTCTTGTCTGTTTGTTTCATTTGTTTTGTTAAGAATGCACCTTGAGTAGCAAAGCTTTGCTAATGCCTGGTTATGTTTTATGCCTAGCTTTAGACATAGTTAGACAGTCTGCCCAGACTTTGCCTCAGTGTCTGCCCAGACCGAATGCCTCTCAAAATGTATGGACTTTTGCTCACTAACTATTTGAAAATTTGTCTCCTCACACATGGACTGTTGGCCCTATTTGCCCTAAAGACCGCGACCCGCAATCCCATTCTTCAGGACAAAGGGGGATGTTGGGCCACGCAGGCTTAGAACAGTCAACAATGGACTTGGGCCTGCACCTCTGTAAAAGCCTCATTTGAGTTATTCACTGAGATCACAAAGAGGCCTAAAAGGACTCTTAATCCCAGAATCCCCTGCGGTACTTCACACCTACGTGTGAAGTAAAGGGGGGACCGGAACCTCTCTCTCCTCATTGGAGGGGACCTGAGGTAGACCCCCATGGAGCAGGCCAGGCTACAAAACTCCAAGACTTCCATTGCTCGCTCTCTTTCACGCGCTGACCTTCGGTGCTCGGAGACCCAAGAAGATCTCCTGTTTCCTGCAACAATCTTCCTTTGTTTTAAGTTTTGGCGCGCAGGTAATCCGCGGCCGGCAGTGTTCTAAATTCCGAGCTCGGATTGTCCAGTGAACGCATCTCAGTTTCTCGGAGAGCGTCAGACTATAACAGATTATCAGAAAGATAACGGTCTTATTCCGTCCTGCAACGAAAGGACATCAAAGGACATCTTTCCACTCGACGGAGAACCAACGAAGCCGCTCTCGCCGTAAGGGACCCTCGCCGCCATCAGACGCCTCTGCACCAGGACGGACAGAAGATCTGCTCCATCGCCGGACTCTTTTCCTTTCACCAATCGCGGACAAAGCGATTCACAAGTGAGGCTTAATTAGGTCTGGGCAGAATTAGCTTTAGAGAGTGTTTTTAACAATTGTTGATCAAAGCAGAAACTGTAATTTTTATCTTTGTTGGACCTGCGTCCTGAGTTTTAACTGTTTAAAACTCTTGTTGTTTCGGACCGCTGCGTCCTATATGTGTTTAGCGTAACAGCGTTATAACCGGGTATTACTCTTCTGATCAGAAAGGCCAGTGTAAGCTGTATTAACTGAATTCGGCTATTGGTTTGTTTCTGTGAATGAAGGGAATTACTCCGAGTTGTGGCGCGGGAGTCGGACTGTGATCCGGCCTCTTCAGGCACGCATTTCTCTTTTATTCTCTTTTATTTCCCCTTCTACGCACACACATACACACATATTCCGTGTAAACGTACATCTGGAGACCAACTCCACCACCGCGCCATTACGCACAGAGATCTATACACTCGCGGCTATCCAGACGCCTCAGAGACACAGATCGTGTAGGGCCGAACTCAGTCTCTTTTAGACCTTAAGGCCACATTTAGGCCTTTGTTAGGTGTGTGCCATCGGAAGGGCGACCACGTGGGACGAAGTAATCTTCCCCCCCTTCTCTCTCCCTTTCATCCACACGCACGCACCCAGGTCTTTGTTAGGTTTGCGCCATCGTGAACGACCACGAGGGTACGAAGCCATCTCCCCCCCTTTCTTCTTCCCTCTCTCTCTCTCTCTCTCTCTCTCACACACACACACACACACACACCTACATTCACACCCCTTCCACAAGCCTTTGCTTGATAATGTTTGTTTGCTTAGATTAGTTTATAATAGTTATTTGTTTAATTAAGTTCATTGATTTTGGATTGATGTTGCTTTGTTTGAATAAATTCTGTTATAATTTAAGAGAGCAGTTGTTTGTGGTCACTGGTGTATTTACATTGTGATATAAGCTGGGTGCGAAGGCTTTGTGTACGGATTTCACGCCTTCAATTTATTAAATATAGTTATTCATTATTAATAATATTAGTAATTAAATAACTAATTTGAGACTGATTTGAGTGATATTTTGGTTATATTTACCTGATTACAGGTTGGTGCCCCAAAACGAGATTAAACATAGTTTAATGATATTTTATTTATATTATTAATAATTAAGTATAATTATTAAAGAATATAACCAAAGTTGACTTGATACAACCCCAACAGTAGTATCTTACTATGAGGTGTCGAAATAAAGCAAAATCCCAATAATAGCATAAATAATAAAACAAAATTAACATGAAGTACATGTTAATTTTATTTCATCTATTTCTGTATGTAGAGCATAAATTAGTTAAAATGATTAGAACTAAAATATTCTGACAGAACCATAACTTAAGGCTTACACGTTGTATGGAATAGGATGTGTCAGAATTATATCACTTGATTATACGAATGCATGCAATTGATTTATCAGTTATTGATGTAATGTATTGATTTAATAACTGATTAGATTTCACTACTTTGTGAACTACTTTAATCCATTTACAAAGAAGTACCATTGCCTCCTCTGAAATGGATCAAGTATCAAAATAGAAACGCAGAAGTAAAGTAAATATCCTCAACAAAATTTGCCACTACAAATCCCCTACTAAACTAAATGCATTTTAAGATGTTCCACAAGTGTTTTTTAGACCATTACATCTTAGTTTTGGGGCAGATTAAAAATATTTTGGCCAATAAAATGTTTTGGCCTACCAGCCATTGGCAGAAAGGGCCCCAAAGTTAATTTTATATCCTGTCTGCTTGACAGTATTGACCCTAAACTACCCAGCTACATGTTAAACTGCACGTCCTGTTGGTATTGTGCCATCATCATGACAGAGATATACAGTCATGCAAGCAGTCATGGATTCTTCTCTGCTTCTCTGCTATGTCCTACTTCTTTTGTCCAAATATTTGTTTTGACAGTGAACTGCAACCTCAATCTTTCTGCTCTGTGCCTCTGCCTTGAGAACTCTTAGAATGTTCCATGTTTAAGTGAATGACATGGGGCCAAGACGAGGCTATTTTGAGTATAAATAATAAGCTTCTAATTTTGCACTTCCTGATAGGGATTTTGCGTCTTGATTGCTATTTTTTGCAAGTCTTCTGAAATCTTAAAAAAATCTGGATCTTTAAAAAGACAAAAAGAGAATTCACCTGCTGTTTGTTTTTGCTTTCACAGGCCACCACACCGTTTACATCGGCGTGCATGTGCCCAAGAGCTATCGGCGTCGGAGGCGTCACCGTCGGAGAACCGGCCACAAGGACAGAAAGGAGAAGTTGACAGAGAACACCTCTGACAAGTCGGACACGGAAAACAACGATGAGGCCAGCAACAGCATCCTCAAACCTCTCAGTAAGTTCTGATGGACTCCTTGTCAAGGCTGATTAGTGGTCATGTCCGTCTTGGCTGAAGGCTGCTCTCTCTTTTTCAGAAAAAAAAAAAACCCTGTTACTCCCTGTGACCCCAAAGATTTGCTGATTCTACTTAGTGGCCAGAAATAGCCGTGCTTGTCGTGCTGATTGACAAGTCTGTTTGGACAGAGCAGTGTGAATTTTCATTGGAAGTAGCTCGCTGCTCAGATATGAGCCTCTTGGGTTCAGAGTGTAAGTGCATGCCTTCCTGTGCTTTTGTCCTTGGTTGTACACATAAGTGTATCTCTCTTTGTGTGCCAGTGGATGTGTGAGCATTTATGTTCTTGGTATGCCGAAGCTTCTGAGCACTACTGAGGTTTCACCCCTGATATCTCGAGAGAATTATATCATTTTACACACACCATCCTGCACATGAATTGACAAAAAATACCGAAATACGCCAGAGCTGGATCTTACAATCTGAACACATCACTTGATGCGGAGGATTTTCTTCAGGACATAAATCCAATCAGTGAATAGATTACAGCCAGCCCATATGTGGCTGCTGACTGTGATGATGCATACAGTATTCAGTAAAAATTACGATCTAAAGATGTATGTTGTATGTTTCCTGATTACAGTCAGAAGTATTGAGTCAACCTAAGGGGTTGCTAAGTGTGTATGAAGCTTTCAACGTGGCTAAATGTTGATGTTGAGTTCAGTGTCAAACATATTGTTAGCAGTCTGAGAGAGGAAAAGCAGTGGATTCTAAACGTGTCTGTAACCAGCTCTTATAACAAACTACTTTTGGGTTTATTCTTATCAATGTATGACCAGTTGTCACAAGTTAATAATTCCCCTAAAAGGTGAGCTTTTCTATCAGACATGTGTTCCCTTTTCACTTTGTTTCAGGTTTTTTAAGAGGCCAAAAGCAGAGCTTCATTGTATTAAGCAGAAATATTTCTATTAAGTAACAATTTTATCAAAGGCATCAAAGAAGAAACTGATCAAATATGAAGAAAATATAAAACACAAAATAAAAAAAAATAGGAAGATGTTGAAAGTACAATGTCATCAACTACAATATGTCTACCTATACCTCTTCGTGTGCATAAAGCCACCTTTCAGATTCATTCTAAAACCCCTTTGTGGGCCTTGTCTAGATGTGTACCAACTGGAGAACAATGACATTACAGAATGATAAACAAAAAAGGTTACAGAATATAATAGTGGATCTGGCAGGTGACCCAAATCTGCACATTTTAGGAATGTTCGGCTGTGATTGCTGATTGGCCGGTCTTCTCAAGAAAAGCCGATTCCATGCCATTCTAGATTTACACACACACGCCACAGGTTTCATGACATGTGCACAGCAACACCATCACTAATCGGACAGTGACCAAAGTGTCATTTTATAGACTGACATCTTGAAGTTGAATGTTGCTTTATCACTCAATCGAAAAAATGACGTCCAAAGTTAATCATTGGTTTCATGGTTATGACCTTTCATAATAAGCAGTCACTATTACTTAGACCATTTGCTGCAGTTCATTCCCTCTCTCTTTCCTTTTCCCTTCATGTCAGTCTTAAGCTGTAATTGTCCAGAAAGACAAAATTGTCCAAAACTAATCTTAAGAAAGAAAAGATGAGGATCTCCCTGTATTTAAAAATAAGAGGGGTCACAGAGAGGACAGCATCTGGGTGTTGTTCTTTTTGGTGTGCTGGTAAAGTCTTATCTCTTTGTTGATGCACTTCATATCTGACGTTCATTTATTCAGACTTATGATGGATGTTTGAATGTACAAGATGAACAAGCAACTGCCTCCTTGTGTCTCGCTTTCCCTATTTCGACGTAGACTCAATTTTCACATTCTTAACAATAACATTATAGACTTACTGTTGAAAAATAAGATCTACTATGGCCAATCAATCATGCTTTCATTAGGTCTTTACCGTGTCTTTCAAATATCCGATTTGTCTTTCAATTTTCGAAAGGTTTCCTTCTTTTAATCATTCTGAGTCTTCATTGGATAATCCCCTATAGGGATAAAGTGGAAATATAACCCACCCTCAGTTCCTTAAAAAGTGAACTCTGTCTGAGATGAGGAAACATTACATAACTCTGTTGTTAACAACAACATTTCTTATTCTCAATTCACAGAAAATCAGACGTTGTTGTCAGAAGAACTCCAGTACTGACGTAGTTGTTTACAGTTAATACTGTGGTATTCACTGGGTCATATGGGTAAAAAAGCGCAAGTGCTGTTGACTTGATAATGGCATAACACAGAGATAACACTGTACATTTGGTATTGTTGTACAGTTCATGGTTCATTTCCATTATTTTATGTAAACAGTACACTCTGTTTTCCATTTGATTTGAACCATTTAGCACTCTGCTACCACCAGTCCCATTTTTTAGGCTTTCCAGTTATCGTTTGGTTTAGCAGAACAGGTGTCATGTTCCTACTAACTGGAAGTTTCCACAGGATCCGTGTGCGTTGCAGCACACACGTCTTGTGGAAACTGCCAGCAATAGACTCTAGCTTTAGCTAACTTGGAGAACAAGCAGATGAATATCATACTTTATTTTTCTTTTAAAGGTAATTGGACTTTGCCAAGAGTGAAAACAAAATGTAGACATTTATTAAAACAACAACCTCGACTAAAAATAAGTAAGCAAGTATTTTATGGTAACTTGGAGGCAAAGTATCTTAAAAGTAAAGTAAAGTAAAAAAAAAAGCTAACTCTAGTTTAATTAATTTTTCATATGTTTTCCTGTATAAAACAAGTCTTAATGAACAGCAAGCAGACTACTGCACTACTATGAGTTACAGTAATTGTTCATAAGGATTTGTATAGGAATGGTGTCATCCAAAGCTTTTGATCCATATAAGCTCTAAATGTGATCCATATAAGCTGTTTCCATTGTTGTGACTTTCTAGAACAGCACTACATGAAACTCAAATCTGCAGGCATTTGTTAGGCATGTAAAAAGTGACAGGCATGCAGTATATACCTAATGTCCCACTGTTATTCACTGACCTCCTCTGTGTCACTCTCTGTGGGAGACATGGCCGCCACCCAGGGAAAGGCCTATGTCTGTAGTCTGACTGAAATCATCTTGTTTGGTCAGATGGACACTGCAGGAAAAACAAGTCCATCCTCCAGGCTACACGTGTGTCCACTGCAGGGCCATTTGACCTCAGCTCATTTTGATGAGAATGTTTTTCTTCCAAAGCAATCCACTTTTTTAGCTGGATCAAATGTCTTCTCAAAGTGGATTATAAGGATTACTAAGAAACTTGGTTCAGATACAAATGGGTTTGATTTCTCAAAGTCAGATAGGATGAACTGAAAGTGCTATTGTGTTTTTTTTTTCTTATTTGTTTGAACAACTAAATGTCTCTTCTTCACTGATTGATACCTACTTCTCGCAAAATTGAAAGTACAATATAGCGAAACATGACTTTTTTTATTTGCTTCCTAATAATGTGATATTTTGCAGAAAATCAGCTCCATGAAAACATCAGTACTTGTAAAATACCTAATCATCACAGTTGTTTTTTTCCCCATTTGTATGAATCTGATACTGCCTAGAAACTTTTAATACACTGAGGTATTTTTAACTGTTATTTATTTTAAAGTCCCCATGAAACAGAACTTCGACAGTATCTACCTGCTGTGTTGTGACATATTTCCAACTAAAACAGGATAGAACCAATCATAATATAGAAGGCGAATGTTGGGATGAATATGATTGGCTTGTTAGCTTCGACAGAGCTTTTTATTGTTCAAAATAGTAAACACCCCTGAGTGCAGGATGAGTCATCAGACATTTGAAGCATTTTACAGGAAGAGAAAATACAGTGATGTGAGGTACAAAATACTCAGATAATGCTTTTTGAAATATATTTGGCAGATAACGGCAGATAAATTAACATTTTAACAATATCAATTTTTCATTTCCTGTGGACTTACTTACCCCAGGCTATGAAAGCAACATTATTACTTTCAGTGGAGTATTGTCAGTGTATTGGAGTATTGTCAGTGTTGAGTATTGTCAGTGTTGTATTTATTTCTACTTAATCAAAGGCTTTAAATACTTCTTTAAACACTAAAGGGAGCCAGACTGCTGGGCTATTTTTCATAGTCACAGGAAAAAAAAGTAAAACGGTTATGTCAGAAGAAAAGGTCCCTGGATATTGATTGGATAAAAAATACCATGCCTTGGAATTTCATTTGAATATGTGTCTGTCTCTAGACATGACTTATAGTTAAGATTAATCTCCATTGACTGACACGTTGATTAAGAATGATTCCCATCCAGTCAAATCATCAGCCTATCTTTCTCACTTGGTTGTTGCACAAGTGTACAAGTCTTAGTTCTGCTACAAACAATCAAAACATGACAATTTGTTGGCTGCTAAGACCAAGATAATCAGTGATATCCGCCATTCTAGATGCTATTGGGTCAAAATACTCTGTCATTAAGATAAGATAAGATAAGATAAGATATACTTTATTGTCCCTAAAGGTACATTTTTCTTGGACTCTTTCCTGGGGTTACAAGATAATACAAGATAATACATAAATAGAGATCATACAAAACAGAAAATTTCATGTAAGAATTCAACATATACATAAGACCACCTTCTTGCAGCAGTAACATATTGGCATATTGCACAGCCCATGGCATGTCTTACCTTACCTGTGATACATAATATTAACAGACATTGGCACAAATGAACGTTTGCAGTGGTTCAGCCTGGCTTGAGTGACCCTGAATCTTCCCCAAGAGGTAAAAGCTGAACTCTATTTTCTGTGCCTGTCTAACAACAGACTGCTCATAGAGTGTTTGGAGAGATGGATGTTTTTTGACACTCGTGACCTTCATAGCAGTCTGCACAAGACAAATAAGAGCTTATGCTGACCAATGTCTTACCGTTCCTTATAAGACATGTCAAGGCAAGCTTCAATCTTCACTGTAATGTTTTACCT